GGTTCAAGCAATTCTCCTGCCTCAGCCTCCCAAGTAGCTGGGATTACAGGCATGTCCCACCACGCCCAGCTAATTTTTGTATTTTTAGTAGAGATAGGATTTCACCATGTTGGCCAGGATGGTCTCAATCTCTTGACCTCCCGATCTGCCCACCTCAGCCTCCCAAAGTGCTGGGATTACAGACATGAGCCACCGCACCCGGCCTGATGGTGAATCTTATAATGATGGGTCAAGCAGACAACACCTGAACCCACTGCTCAATCCTGTCACTAAAAGCAGGATAGCCAGATGCTATGTTCTTCCTAATGCAATACAATAGATATGCCACCTATGAAGTATTAGTGCATAAAACTAAAATTGAATCTGAATCTAATCAAGATTCTAGATCTAACTGCAAATTTACAGGAAATACAGGAGAGTAAAGACTGTTAAATGATACCATGTGGGTACCATTAGCCAAGAACAGATTGTGAGGTATTCCACAGGAAAAATTATCTAGTATCTAAAAAATTAATGACATGAACATTGCAAAAAAAAAAAAAAAAGCACAGGGAAGGAAGGGGATCTGTTACAGAGTAAGAGACGCTTACAAGACATACCCATCAAATGCAATGTACAGGCCTTGGATCCTGTCTAGAACTAACCAACTGTAATAAGACCTTTCTTCTTTTTTTTTAGTCTCTTCTACTCCTTCAAGTTATTGGTAGAGAAAAGACACTTTTGAGACAATCAAGGAAAACTGAATGTGGACTGGTTATTAGAGAATACTAAAGAAGTATTGCTCATTTTATTGGACATAATGATATTATGGTTATTTTTAAGTTCTGTGTCAGAAATACTGAACTATTAACAGGCTAAATTACATTTATTTTAAAATACTTCTGGGGGGAAAGTAAACAGTTGAGGACAGATGAAGCAAAAATGAAGGAATGTCTTTGTTTTTGGGTTTTTTGTTTGTTTTTGTTTTATTTTTGCCTAGAGACAGGCAAGCTGCCCATACATCCCAGGGGCCAGGGGAGGAGCTGAAAGAATGTCAATAATTGCCAAAGCTGGGTGATAGATACATGGAAGTTTATTAATCTGTTTTCTCCACTTGTAAATGTTAAAAAGAGGCTTCCTCAGCTTCACACTTTCTCCATTTTTACTACTAAGACTTTGAAAGGTATCTGTATTTACTGTCACTACATCATCTCTTCCCATTCTCTCCTGAACCTGGAAATTTTTGCCTTTATCATGCCAACAAAACCACTCTTATCAAGGTCACCAGTGACTTCCAAATTGCCAAATCTAATGGTCAGTTCTCATTTTAAATGACCTAAGTAACATTGGTCACTACTAATCATCCCTACTTGAAAAAGTTTCTTCACTTGACTTTAGGATACCAAACTGATTTTCCTCCTGCTTCACTGTCTAGACCTTGTTTTCTCTGCTAGATAATTTTCATCTTCTGACCTCAGATACTGGTGTGCACCAGGACTCAATCCTCTGACTCTTCTCTATGACTTCCTAAGCAATTTCATTCATTACCTTGGCTATAAATACCATCTATGTACTATTGATTCCCAAATTTATATCTCTAATCCCAGCCTCCCCTTAATCTCATCCTATAAAATCTCACACTCAATATGTATGAACCCAAATTCTTTTTTTTTTTCTTTCTTTTTTTTTTTTTTTTTTTTTTTTTTTTTTTTTTTTTTGTTTTTTT